CACAGGTTCCAGCTGGCAAAAATCAGCAGCAAAATCCCATTATTCTGTTACTCCCCTGTGACAGCCGTTAAAGCCTTTGCTTTGCAGGCAAAGTTCAGCACAACAGCAGAGTGAGTGAGAAGAGCCCTGTGACAATGGGAGGATTGGAAAACATCAGGAAATGGGTGATTTTTAGCTTTATGGTTGGGATATATATATGCATTTTTTAAAAGATCAGGGCTGTAGCATCCTCTCGCCGTGCATCTTCGGATGTGCCACCACAAGCCGAGGCAGAGATAGGGAAAGGCCTGGCTACCAACAGCCCTCGGAGAGTTGCCCACTGACTTGAAACCTCTTCCTGTGCCTAAAACCTCGCCGAACGCAGACAAATAATCGTGCTGGGGGCCATGTTTGGAGGGGGCAGGGTACAGAAGGAAACCCACAGCCTTTCTGCCTCCCCGGCAGGGTACAGGGCTCAGCGTCTGCAAAGGCTCTGGGTTTCCTGGTGCCATAAATAACGCTTGTGTTGCATTGATTGGCACCACAGCAACCTAACCTGGCTCCTTTATTTTTAATATTCTCTTTATTTAAAGGTAGCGAACGGCCAAGAGGAGCAGATCTTCCCATAGAGAGATAAACCGCCAGCCCTGCTTCTGGTAACAAATAACCCCTCCTCGCGCTCCCCAATGGGCAGGGGGTGGCTGTCCCCAGGGGGTCTCTTCCTAAAATCCCACTTGGCCACAGTACATCTCGCTTTCTGGTCATCTGCTTTCTACTCCCTCCCCAAAATGCCAGAAGCCCCTCATTTTAGGGCTGTGCCATATCACGGGGCTGGTGGGGGGCTCGCTGTGCCCTGCTATTGCAGAACATCCCTGAAAACCCTGATGATTTGAGCTCATGGGCAGCCCAGGCCAGGTAAGGCCCAGCACAACGTGGCTGCCGGAGGAACTGAGCTCCAGGTTTTTGGCCGCTGCTGCCAGACTTGCAGCTCTTATAACGCAACGGAAAAAACATCCGTGGTGGAGATGGCGGGGACTGAATGAGCGTCCCCTCGCCTGCCTGGGGTAGAAATCTCAAGAAACAGGAAACTCCAGTATCCTGTTTAGCATCTCAATGCTCGAGTTGGCAGTGGGGACAAAAAGCAAAGCCAAGAGACATGGGGATGCTGGGCACCAATGTCCCTGGCTCAGGGCAGGGGAAGGAGCCTGGCCTGGCAGTGGCAGCTTGGGAGGGAACCCTGTTCTCTGATGTTCTTTGCTTTGGTGTCACGGCAGCCTTTTCTATAACAGCAGAAAGCAAAGTACAGCTCAGCCAGGGCTTCAGAAGGTGCCAGTGTCCCCTAAACGTGGCTCATAGGGCATCTCTTGTGCTGGAGGCGATGGAGGCGGGCATGGAGTGATAGGATGAGAGGTAATGGCTTCAAACTGGAAGAAGGGAGATTAATATGAGACATGAGGAAGAAATCCTTCCCTGTGAGGTGGTGAGGCCCTGGCCCAGGTTGCCCAGAGAAGCTGTGGGTGCCCCCTCCCTGGCAGTGTCCAAGGCCAGGTTGGATGGGGCTTGGAGCAGCCTGGGCTGGTGGAGGTGTCCCTGCACATGGGGGTTGGACTGGGGGGGCTTAAAGGTCCCTTCCAACCCAAACCCTTCTGTAATTCCCTGATCTCCCATCCTCACAGCCTCATTCACATGGCTCAGCTCTAACAGCTCCACACATGCAACCCCAACCTATGCTTCTGGGGATTTTGGGGCTGGGAGCATCTCCATACGCATCCCAAGAGCTCACCCATGTGTGTTCGTGCCCGCAGCCCATCCAGAGAGCGCGCCTGGCCTGTCCATGGCTAGCAACAACACTGCTAGCATAGCGCAAGCCCGCAAGCAGGTGGAGCAACTGAAGATGGAGGCCAACATCGACAGGATAAAGGCAGGGCATGGCAAGCGGTCGCC